CTTGCTTGCTAGATTCATGCATAATCCTACTAGAAAACACATGGGAACAGCCAAGAGGGTATTAAGATACATTCAGGGCACACTTGACTTTGGTATTGAATTTATAAAAGGGGAGATAGCTACCTTAATAGGGTATTGTGACAGTGACTAGGCAGGAAGTGAAGATGACAGAAGAAGTACTTCAGGATATGCATTCACATAGGGGTGGCATTTTAGACCGAAAAACTGCAAAAACCAACCGACTATTTACCGCAATAAAACCGCGATCGAGGTAAACCGAACCGCATTTGCGGTATGAAGAACCGAACCGCATTTGCGGTATGAAGAACCGAACCGCATTTGCGGTATTTGATTTTCAAAACTTACGGGGTTCTTCAAATCCACTCACCACTAACACTTGAGTTTGTAACATTAGCGCATTGCATTTTTCTTTTAGTTTGTAACTTTAATTAACTTTGAATTGGATTTTTTCTTTTAGTTGTAACTTTAATTCATTTTGCTTTGTATTTTTCTTTTGGTATGTAACTTTAAAGGATTTGGAATTGGAATGCTTGAGAAGTTTAACTTTAATTGGAATGCTTGGAATTGTAACTTTAATTTTCTTTAGGTTGTGAATGCTTGAGAAGTCGAGGAGATTGTGAATTTCTATATGCTTGAGAAGTTGAGGTTGTGTATTTATTTATTTAGGTTGTGAATTTATATTTTTGTGAATGCTTGAGAACTTGCGGTTTTAAACCGCTAATTCGCAGTAACCGACCGCTTTTTGCAGTTTTAAAAATCACCATACAGCAAATAGTCAGTCGGTTTGCGGTTTGGGCAAAAATTCGCGGTTACCGAACTGCAATCACCCTTACATTCACACTAGAATTTGGTATGTTCTCATGGGCATCAATTAAACAGAACACAGTGGCCTTGTCCTCTGCAGAGGCAGAATATGTTAGTGCTGTTGAAGCAACATCACAAGCTAAATGGCTAAGGTTTGTACTTGAAGATTTTGGAGAGGAGCAAGTGGAAAGCACACCAATTCTGTGTGATAACACCTCTGCCATAGCAATGGCAAAGAATCCAGTTTTCCACCAGAAAACCAGACACATTAGTCGAAAGTTTCACGTCATTAGAGAAGCTATTCAAGCAAAAGAGATTGAACTAATCTACTGCAAAACAGAAGATCATATCACAAACATTCTAACCAAGGCTTTGTCCAAAGATCGTTTTGTGTATCTAAGAGATCTACTTGGTGTGAAATCAACCAAAGGGTTAGAAGGGAGTGTTGATGTGTAACCCTTCAGCTAAAATCCTTGGAGCAACCGAACCGCATTTGCGGTATGAAGAACCGAACCGCATTTGCGGTATTTGATTTTCAAAACTTACGGGGTTCTTCAAATCCACTCACCACTAACACTTGAGTTTGTAACATTAGCGCATTGCATTTTTCTTTTAGTTTGTAACTTTAATTAACTTTGAATTGGATTTTTTCTTTTAGTTGTAACTTTAATTCATTTTGCTTTGTATTTTTCTTTTGGTATGTAACTTTAAAGGATTTGGAATTGGAATGCTTGAGAAGTTTAACTTTAATTGGAATGCTTGGAATTGTAACTTTAATTTTCTTTAGGTTGTGAATGCTTGAGAAGTCGAGGAGATTGTGAATTTCTATATGCTTGAGAAGTTGAGGTTGTGTATTTATTTATTTAGGTTGTGAATTTATATTTTTGTGAATGCTTGAGAACTTGCGGTTTTAAACCGCTAATTCGCAGTAACCGACCGCTTTTTGCAGTTTTAAAAATCACCATACAGCAAATAGTCAGTCGGTTTGCGGTTTGGGCAAAAATTCGCGGTTACCGAACTGCAATCACCCTTACATTCACACTAGAATTTGGTATGTTCTCATGGGCATCAATTAAACAGAACACAGTGGCCTTGTCCTCTGCAGAGGCAGAATATGTTAGTGCTGTTGAAGCAACATCACAAGCTAAATGGCTAAGGTTTGTACTTGAAGATTTTGGAGAGGAGCAAGTGGAAAGCACACCAATTCTGTGTGATAACACCTCTGCCATAGCAATGGCAAAGAATCCAGTTTTCCACCAGAAAACCAGACACATTAGTCGAAAGTTTCACGTCATTAGAGAAGCTATTCAAGCAAAAGAGATTGAACTAATCTACTGCAAAACAGAAGATCATATCACAAACATTCTAACCAAGGCTTTGTCCAAAGATCGTTTTGTGTATCTAAGAGATCTACTTGGTGTGAAATCAACCAAAGGGTTAGAAGGGAGTGTTGATGTGTAACCCTTCAGCTAAAATCCTTGGAGCTAAAAGTCAAGGTTTTGAATTTTATTTTATATGTTTTAATTTCTGGTTGTAATGAGAGCTGTTGGATCATAGTCTAAGTGGCCTAGGATATAATTGTCAAATTAAGACAAGTGTAATCATCTCATAGGGTGATAGGATCAAAGGCTAGGATTTAATCCCTGTAAAGCAGTTAGAGAAGCTTCTTACTTCTTTCTTCTCATACGAATATAGATGACTAGTGGAATGGAATGAATAGTAACCTCCAGTTTTCTATTTTCAGAGCAACGTTCTCTTTCTCATACTCTCTTTGTGATCTCTTCCTTCCTCCCAAACATCCAAAATACTAGAAACCAATTACTGAAACAGTGAATTTTAACAAACCTTTGACCAAGCCATGAAGAAGTGGCAAACTTGGTCTTTTGCATTCTTCCACATACATGCTTAGGTTGATATGTCATGATCCTAGTAGTAGGCCCTTTGCCCACATAAGATGCATATAGCAACCAATCACACTTGACATTCCTATTTTCTTTACCTTTTTCTTTCCTTTTCTCCACCATTTTCTCCATTTTCTTTTCTACCATCCTCTTCAGCATTTTGTACACGTTTTTCTCTATTTTTTTTTCTCCATTTCTTTTTCCAAAAACTTTTTTTTTTTTTTCAGCCTTTCCTCCACTTCCACACACCACCCTAACCCTGTGAGGGTCATTCTTAACCCATCTCAATGGCCTAGCACTTGAAACTACATAGAATCTTATGGCCTCCCTACAGTGTTCCATGTTAGCAAACTCCATTCCAATATGAAATATTAGATTAAATAAATCAGTCTCCCTTTTGAATTGCTTGAACCTAGAAATTTATCTTCTGTGACTAACCTTTTTCACACCTGTATTTTCATCAACTTCATTTTCCTTTTCTGAAATACTTAGAAGGTCCTTTGAATTGTAGTCATCACTTGGAACATCACCAGGTTCTCTCTGTGGTTCTTAAACAGCTTCATTCACTAGATGCCTATCAAACCACTTGTCATCTTCTGCTCTCTTTTGTTTGTCTTGTTCTTCATCTGTTTGCTTGTTGTCACTATCTATGAACTGCAGGCGCTCTTCGTTATCATCCTCTCCATCAACATTTACATCTTCTTCCTCATATACCTGTAGCTCCTCATCTTCTTGCTGCTCCTCATCTTCCTCTTTAGCTTCATCATCGGCATGATCAGCAATGTTCGCATCATCTTGTACATCTACATGTATCAATTGTGGTTGAAGCAAATTCTGAAAGTTAAATACAGTTGTAGAGGCTTCATTCTCTAACAAGGTGGGTTCTAGCTTTTTTGTGATGCACAAACCGTGAACCCTTGATGCAGATATCTCATGCACAAACTCAAGCATATCCTAGTCTCCTCGAATTACCACATAACCCAATGTTGTGGACCTATAGAGATAATCGACTTTTATGTGGTTGTATCCTAGTGATTCAGCAACATCATATAAGTCTAGCATAGACAACTGATCTATATTACAGTTGTCTGCACATTGGACAGTACCTCCCACATACTTCCCCTTTTTAAAATACCCTCATGGTGAATTTCAATCGTAAATAACTCTGGATCACCTACAAACAACAAAATTTAATTTAATTAACTTAACAACTTCAATTTACTACAACAAACCTACCAATCGAATCCAGCCTTTAATAACATCAGCCACACAGAGACAAAGAAACACACATACTTTACTTTGGGACCACACTTTTCTATTCGAAAAGGAATCTTACAAAAAAGCAAGAAGATAGAAGAATCCAATTCTACCGATAATCTATGGACCACAACCACTTAAACAATGAAAAGAAAGGGAAGTTGAAGACTTACTATACTTGGGAGCCTGCCTACTGCTCTGGACTTCGACACACATCTTTCTTGGTCAATATAGGTGTGTTGATTCGAGATTCCTATGACAAACTCGCCAATTTTTCAACATCAGCCAATATGCAGCTCGATTTCGTGAAATCCCCAATTCCCCCCAAACTTTCGAACCCTATAGCTACAGCTCTGACCTTGCGTCCTTTTTTCCTTCCCTTTTTTTTGGGTTGAAACTGACCTTGCCTCCTTCGACTTTTCTACTTACATTGGGTTGACTTGCGTGGACACGCGAAATGACAAAAGTAACCTCCATCTTGATGGTATAATGGATGGAAAATGCCAGATTTTGACGTCATGGGGCACATTGGCCGAAAAAATAGACGGGTACTTAATTTTCTATATAAAAAAGATAGGGGGTCAATTGAAACTAAGGTACAAGTTCAAAGGGCAAATCACCATTATACCCTTTAATCAATTAATTTTTTATATATGAAATAATTTAATAAAAAAAAAAAGTTTTTTTTTTTTTTTTTTTTTTTTTGAGGTCCAGTCCAGTGCAAAGTTAAGTAAAGCACCAAACAACAGACTCAAAGTCTGGTCTAGTCCTAGCCAGCCCAGTCCAACACTCCAAGTCCAATTCAGTCTTGTCCAACCCGACCCACCAAACGGGAGCCTATATATTTATTCGACCATAGGTTGTGCAACACACCCTTGTTCCTAGCTAGTTCGCAAGAGTGAATGTAGATATTCAACTTACAATTACAAATGGAAAACATTATTATTAGACTGAAAAATGTTGATAATTTATTCAACTAAAACAAAGAAAAAAAAGGAGAAAATGACTTGCATCTGTTCATCTTTGGAAGAGTGCAGCAAAAAGAATTTGATTCCAACTATCCGGAATGCCGGGAAGACACCAGTGGGTGCAATCTATGCTACGGCGGCCGCCAAAACCATAGAAGGAAGGGTGGCCATCTTTCCTGAGTTGTGACAGTGTTGTTATGTTGAGCAAGTGAACTGGCTTGGACATTGTGCGCAACACTACTTGTGCTGGATGTGAGCCTCCTGGATATTGTGTTCCTAACACTGGTGCTGTTTGTCCAAAACAGGTCTCCGATTTTGCATTATCACCCCATTCTCTTGACCTATTGATTAGCACAAATAAAAAGATCATAACATTTATGTTAAAAAAACATTTCTTATAAATGGTCGTGTGCGTTCTCATATATGCCAGTGGGTTAACTATTTGTCAAAGTTAGAACAACGGCATATGAAGTTTTACTTTTCAATTTTTTTCTCTCTTCATCGAATATAGAATCTCAGATTCATGGATAAATACTTGTAACCACTTCACATTTGGTTAGTTTTTTAGGTACACAAGGATTCTGAGCCTCTGCATTTAGCATCGATGCATTTACACATATTTAATAAAATATTAACCATTAGATTAATCTAATGAATTTTAATGAGTCCAGGTCAGAATAATTGTATTATACTAAACCTCACAACTGCCGCACCTTACTATATGTATTTGATAACATTGAAATAAAAAAGAAAAAATCAAATCAAGCAGCAACCACCTCTCTCCTCAAGCCAGCCCCCACACTGCCAACCAATTGCTGACCCTTACTCTCTTTTCCTCTCACACACGCACATAGGTCGACTTGGTTTAATTGTAGTAATTGTGCGAATTATTTTTCATTTATTTGGAGGGAGGGAGAGAGGGGGGAGGGGGGGGGGGGGGTAAGGTGGGGCAGCCAGGGAGGGCGGGGGAGCTGCCACAGGGGGGATAGTAGGCTGGGTTGAAGAGTTGATGCTTGCTGAGACATTTTATTTTTGTTATTGTTATAATATTTTTAATATTTTATTTCAAAGGTTTTTATTTTTTTATTTTTATTTTTATTTTTTGAGATACATCATACGGGGTAGGGGGCACACTATCTGTGGGATTCGAAGGTGAGTCATGGGGGGGAGCGGGGAGCACCTCAACCACTGAGGTAAACCTGAGGACCCTCTTTCAAAGGTATTTTAAAAAAAAGTTATTATACACATATAAGGTGTAAAGAGATGCTGATGTGGACCGATTAAAATGCATTAGATTAATTTAATGGTTAACATATGTTTAAATGCATGTAAATACATCGATGCTGAATACAAAAATTCGGGATCCGTAAACGAATTAGTGTTGAAAAAAGTCCTTATCTAGGCAGCCCATTGTTTACCTCATATGATCCGGAGAAACACCTTGGAAGAAGACCTTTGTTTTACTAGGATCTACACTAGATTCCACCCATCTAGCCCATGTCGTCAAAGCTTTCTCATAGGCCTTCATGCGATCAATGTCCTTGTGTGCATTATTCACACCATATCGAACTTGTGCCCACCTGCATTACTTTATTAATTCTAAAAATAAAAAAAAGAAACAGAAAAAAATTGTAACACATACGGTTGTTTTCTTCCAGTATGAAGCCACCAATGCCATGTATTGAAGACCAAGACGTCAAAGGTTCTCCAATAACTTCCATTTTGAATTGAGTCCAGCATTAGAACACGCCCATTGCTATCATTCACAACATCTACCAGAAAGGCATTGCGGGACAGAACGATCGAAACGTCGTATGCCTACAAATTAATGCAAGTTGAGCATGAGCATGTTGTCGTTCCCAATTTCATGTACCATTTGGAGATCCTAATTAATTAGGTATTAAATGCATGGTTTAGAAGGAAATTAAGGTAGGTAGCCTTACTGGAAACTTGAATGTGGAGACACCTCCAACCTTGGACAAGGTGTAGCTGGCTTCTGGCACTGATGTATGAAGCAAACATGTGAGAGACTGCCATTGGTTCATGCTCAATGAGTCCCCTACAAATAGGATGCGCTTCCCTCTAAATCTTCCCAAAAAGTTTCTTCCATCGAACCTACATATATACATTGTCCCCAAGAATTATATATAAATAAAATAAAATAGAGAGAAAAAAGAACAATGGCAAGAAGACTCAAGTACCTTGGTAAATCGCATGAAGTGGGCTGCCATCTGTACTTGAGATACTCATTATCTGGTCTACCATTCTTTTGGCAATCAAACTCCTTCAAAATGAAGGGACAGTCTGTTGAAATGTAGAGAGGGTAGGACCTATCGTACACCCATTCTCCATGGAAAAGGTCACACCCAGACCCAGCATTGTTTACTTGTTCCCTCACCCAATATTGACTCACCACACCCCCTATCTTGTACAACAGAGAAAATAATATTAATGCTACAGAAAATATAGAAGAAACAGCCATGTGTCAGAACTCAGAAGAAGGTGGTAGCCAAAAAATTTATTCCTTGGGTGAGTTTAAATAGTGCAAACTGTGCTTCTTATAAGTCTAATTTCTGTTCTTTATTGATTGATTTAGTCATTAAGGGCTTGAATTATTAACTTAACCTTTCTGAAACACATTAGATTAAAATATTCTCATTAAGGGCTTCATTTAGGCGAAGATTCCTTTTATTGTCTTAAAATGTGGAGTTCGATTAATCATTTAACAACATAACATGTTAGATATCTAACACGAGAAGATTTACCCTTTATATTTCTTTTTTTCCCCTTCAGTCAAGACAAAGCCTAATTGATGATGAGATATTGGCCTTTGCAAGTGGCAAAGACAGTGGCTGTGTCCTGATTGGTTTAGGCGTATAAAGGAACTTCTTGTTTGGATTGTTGCAAGTTTTGAGTGGCTTTTCTCCACCCCTAAATGATAAGGTTGGAGGCTAGCTACCTTCCCAATTCGTAACATTTTAATTTTTTCTTTTTTCTTTATAGTTGGTATTTTGATTAGATCGATCCAACCTCTCCAATCAGCTCTAAAATGGATGTATCAATCAAGACGCCAACTTCAGAAACATTGAAATAAATAAAAAACAAAGAAAACACAATGAATTATACAGTAATTTTCCTATTGTTTCACGGTTGTCCAAAAACAAAGAAAAAAAAAACATCGAAAGTTACACAAGAAAGTGCAAAAAAATTTGGACCATTTCTCGATTTATGCGTGTCATCCTTGCGCAGGGGCCATGCTAATCTTCTCTGTATCGTTCCAATTTTATTGGATGTCCCCGAAGGGACGAGCTTTAGTATTGAAAAGCTCTATAGAAAGGTTTCATTCATAGAACGGTATTCCGATATGGGATTCATGTTTCGTAGTTCTTAGTCAAGATTCCCTCCTACTTTAATAGTCTGGCTGGCCCAAGTCTAAGACAAACTCCCGTCCCTTATCACTTGGGCCTTTCTTTGCTCATTCAATCCAAAAATTAAAGCCCAGAAACATATCTGGAAATGCCCGTTGATTTTTTATTAACACGATTTCAAAGACAACTGTACATTCCAAAATTATATAATTAATTAACAAGCTCTGTGACTTGTTTCTGTTTTAAATTATTTATAACCTTTTTATATATCTTTAAAAAAAAATTACAGTAGCTTTTTTGAATGTAAAGTTTTTTAATCCCTTCGAAATTTGGTAAATATGACGATTACAAAGAAAATGTTAACATATATGATAGATTTCAAAACATATGGTCATGGACCACATAAATATGTTCACTCTTGGAGGTTATTAACCAATGTGATTGAGCATATGCAGAGCACTATTTGTGTCCTCTTCAATAAAAACAAGAAATCTTACACATGCATGTGAGATAGTTATTTTCAGGCAGAAAATTCATTTCGTTTTAGGGTGAAACTTCAATTTTCTTCGCTCTGTAGGCAAAGTGGTTGAATAATTGATATATATATTTGGAAGTGGATGGATTGGAATACAAATTATGTAGAGATTATGAACTGCAATTACATACTCACATGCTACAACAAAATGTTGCTTTAGCGCGATTTTTCCAGCGAGGAATTATATTTTCTCGTAGAAGCAGCTTTTCAGCGAGAAAAATGTTAAATTCTCGCAAAATGTGACCTAAATTTTGTTTCCAAATTAGACCAAGCTATAGCGATGACATGTTGGATGCAGCGACAAAAAATTAGTTGGTTTTTCTTTGTATGAGAGCTGCATATAGAAGTTGATTCCAAGTATCAGGAACACCGGCCAGACACCAGTGGCTGCAGTCCATGTCCCTGTGACCACCGTGACCATACACAGACGGATGGCCATCCTTTCTTAGTTGTGAAAGGGTTGTGACATTGAGCAAATAAGCTGGCTTTGACATAGAATGCAGCACTCTTTCTACTACAAGCTCTGCTGGATGTGAACCTGCTGGATACTGATGCCCAACCACTGGTCGCATTTGTCCCTCACAGTGTTTTGCAGTTCGCTCCCCCCAATCACCTCCACTAATTAACCAAACATTCATACAATAATTGGGGAATAAAATGTTGCAGAAAAATGTTATAAAACAGGTGAGCTTGTAATTATAAGAAAAAGTAAATAAGGTCATGCGGTAAATTGTCATATCAAAGATGTGATAGGATGTAAATGTGGGGTGGAATATCAAAGATGTGACAGGATGTAAATGTGGGGTGGAACAGTTGGTTAGGTCAGTGACGTTGTAACAATAATTAATCGATAAAGGACATGTAAATCATAAAATAAACTATTATATCCGATGATCATTTGAGTTAGTGACATGTCTCTAGTCAAATTTTATGATGTTAAGCTATAACTAGCAATGTGATAGATGCAAGGGTGCTGAACCATTAGATAAGAATTCGTCTCATGAGTGGTTCAGATTCATAGTCTTAAAACATAAGATAACATAGTTTTACGTTGTGAATATGTCTCAATCAATGTATACAGGCAAGGCCAGGGAAATCTTACTTATTATGATCTGGGGAAACACCCTGGAAGAAGACTCTTGTTTTTTTGGGGTCCAAATTGCTGTCAATCCATCTAGCCCAAGTGTTGAGCCCCTTCTTATACGCAACCAACCGATCCATGTCTTTATACAGGCGGTTTCCTTCTTGAATTAGATCCCAACTGCAACACATGACATTCATTGAATACAACAATGTTTAGTTAATTGCTTATGACAAAGGCAAAATAAATTGGAAATTTTTGTTTGGGCCATCTTTAGGAGGAAAATTTGTGCGAAACGAGGATGCTACTGTTTTGCTATTCTCAGCCAATCACAAATTCTCATATGGAAAAGTCACGCATCACATACCGTGGTTGACCGAAAATAGAAAAACAATGCTATCTCTAGCTTTAGGGTATTAGAATTAATTTTGATCTTACGGTTGCTTCCTTCCACTGTGAAGCCACCAATGCCATGTGTTGAAGATCAAGAAGTCAATTCCCTTCCACATTTTCCCACTTTCAATAGAGTCAAGTTTAAGAACTCGCCCAGCTTTTGTTGCTATAATATCAACCAGAAAGGCATTCCTAGAGAACATGACCTTCACATTGTATGCCTGCAGGTTGTGGAACAATACCGCAAATATTGAAGTTATTTTGGGTGTTTTAGTGAAACTCCCATTTAATAATCTTATTCATCATATTCTCGTTAGCATCTTATGTGACAAAATATTGTTCATATAGGAGTGCATAAATTTGGTGAGCTTAACATTATTGTTTTCGACTCGTAGAGAGATTGGACCCTCTCTAATAGGTGGGTGGATCCACATTAGTTTTATTCCCACCATATGCTCACCAATGTGATTCATATATATGAACGGTTTGTCTAAGGCTTTATCATATACCTTCTTGTTGTTAAGTGTTGATGTTGACAGGCTATGGTTTAGGAAGATATATAATAAAAGTAATGCATATTGTATATGCAAACCAACGTTGGTTTGATTGGTTGCTCTTTCAGTTCATGTATTAAGCTTTACCTACCAAAAACAGCTGGTAGAGATATGCATTATAAAAGTATAATTGTCATCATTCGCATTATCAACTTAAAGACTCTAAAAAAACAATGTTAGATGCAGAGTCCTTGTTGAGAAAATTAATTATATGAGACTTGAAAAATAATGTTGGTCGAGTTCAAGATAATCATCTCTATTGTTTGCGAGAGACGCAAAAAATACTAATAAATCTATGTATTAGTGTCAAATGCAGTGCACTCGTATCGTATGGAGAATTAATTATAAACGCATGAACAAAAACTAAAAAGAAGGTAAAATTGAGGGGTATAATTAGTCTTACAGGGAATATGAATGTGGATAGCCCTCCTATCCTGAACAGTTTATATGGGGTTTGTGGGTTGGCTGTGTGAAGCATACAAGTGAGTGACTGCCATTGATTCAAGCTCAGTGAGTCCCCAACAAACATGATGCTCTTTCCTCTAAATCTTTGCAAGAAATCTTGACCGTTGAACCTACATGGATAAGTTTTATCCAATCATATGATGTGATACTAAGCTCCAATTGAGGAAAACTCCTTCAATATTTTTCTGCTTTTTGTAATTGGAATAATATCAAAGAAAAATAGTCTTAAATTTGAGGACAAAATGCATGAAAGCAACCCATCGACAACCCTATCTCTATATGCGAGTAGTAGCATTCATCATAGCAAAGATGGGATCGGAGAGCGGCCAACAGAAAAACCATATACACAACCATTTGCTTCATAAAAGAAAACGAACCATTTGAAAGAGAACTAGAGATTAAAGCAGCAAAGGCTAGTCATGGGTGTATTTACCTTGTTAAGCTGCAACCAGTGGGCTGCCATCTATATTTAAGATAGTATTTGTCTGGACGACCATTCTTTAGGCAATCGAATTCCTTCTCTATGAAGGAGCATTTTGCTGAATTATAGAGAGGATATGATGCATCATAAACCCACTTTCCTTGGAAAATATCACATCCTTTAGTGGAAGTTACATTTCCATGTACATGGTGCACAAGAGAGAGCACAATAACAAGTGTGCTAATGCCAAAAATATCCATGAGAGAGAGAGAGAGAGAGAGAGAGAGAGAGAGAGAGAGAGGGAGAGGTTGGAGACTCTCACAATGTATGTGACAGAGTGGGTTGAAATGCATGTATATATAATAATTACATATGCGACTGAGGGGGTTGATAATACAAAGACTACCTACTTGAGACGATTTCATCAATCCCGTCCTAAAATACGGCCTTCCACTCTAAACTCATAAGAAAAGGGAACGGAAAATAAATTCGTAAACTTGCGAAGGGATTTTATAGTTAGTTACAATTGCGTACAAAGTACTACCAATTTTGGTTCATAAGCACCCAATATTTGCATCTGTAAGATATATATAAAGAAACTATGTATAGAGTCAGTCAGGAGTTTTATAAAAAAATATCCCAAATTTAACTCCAAAATTCCTAAA